TCGCCAATCCACCTCCGTCTCAAGATTTTTGCTTCTGTTACGGGAACGCCCCTACATGCAATCGGAAGCAAAGTTATGTAAAATTTAATGGTTACTGCGTGTATTGGGCAACTTCAAATTTGTTCTTTTGGGTTATGAAACAATCCTCGGCTTTTTTTCCATTTCTAAAAATTAAAACTAATAAGAGTAGAAAATCAGCCAGTGATATATTCTCCATGATGCGGGAAACTCGCGAAAAGCCGACAAAGAAGAAGCCGCCACAAAAAATAAAGACGAAAATGGCTATGGGACGCAGAAGAGAAAAAAAAATGTGTATTCTGCCTTGAAGAGCAGAAGCACAGTAAATATGCTACCAAGCTAATGCTGGAGCACAAAAGCTGGTGGTTTATCAGGTAGCACGTCGCGTCCATTTGTGAAGGGAAGTGTTTCGTTTCCCTCTCAATCTATAACAGTTTTCGAAAAGAGGCTCTCTTCACTGAATGTGACCTCAGCTGTCATTATGTGCCATTTGAACAAAAATCACTGGATCTGGACTCGAAATAGTTATCATTTCTTCAAACATTCATCGTTGATGGATTTTCTTCAGGCATCATTGGATAATTGATTGAAAAGCGACTGGAAAAGATGCTCGTTTAGTGAGGGGAGTTCAGGCTCATGTGGTTAGTACGGTAAAAATTCCCCTTTTTACTGTTTCGTTCTGAAAGTTAATCCTCAAAATTCCCCTTTCCATATGAAGTTGAGCTTTGTCGCGTTATAATATGACTTCTCGACTAAGTTATTTTGCGGGATGCTGCTCTTTCGATCAGTAATGTTGAGCAGCTTGGAGGATAATATTGTTACAAACTTTGAAAAAAGGAAGCCATCGACAACCTTGCTTTGCATCTGCCCAGTGGTGGACTGCCTTTTTTTTCCAGCAGAAAGAAAGCAGCAACGATGACGATTTGAAGCAGAGGAGAAGCTTTTAAATAGTTATGATACTAAGTTAGAAAGAAGCAGCTGGATTTTCATCGAAAAAACGCAAAAAATTGGTCGGTCAACGCTGCGAAACAGCACTGATTGATCG